ACCAGAAAGACTCTCCAGATATTCTTTCCATCTCTGGGCCCACCCATGTCTTCACAATATCATCATCACTCTTCAGAGGCCACAAAGAGCCTGGTTCCTTGCTTTACCCATACAGATGGGAAAACAGGAGTTGAATGAGGAGTCCTCTGTCCCTTGCTTATTTTGTAGCACTAATTGGAAGGTGCTAGTGATCACAAACAGATTACAATCTGTTTGTCATTACACAGTTACACTTACATACATTTGTGATAATAGCATTTAAAGCAATGACTACCAAAACTAACATTATTAGTGATAATAAAATCTATACCTTCTCCATGTTACAAAGGTGAATTTATTGGTCCAGCCGGTACTCCATCATCAGATGAGTTTTTTATGAGGAAAGACTATTATTCTTTCACAGCTAAAATACAAATGGTAGACCATTTACTCTGATATTTAGTCTTCAGTTCTATTGAACACAGAGTTAAGAGACTCGAGCTATGTCAAAAGTAGGGGGACATGAGTGGTGAGCATGTCCCAGCTCTGGGTATGAAATGCAGGTTGCAAGAAAGTGAGTCAAAATTCTTTCCTTAGGTGTTTGGAGGTCCAGCAAAGCTCACTTTTATGTATTATGGGAAAATGGGCTGGATGGGTTTCAAAAGCTGACTTGGTCCAAATCAAATTTTGATTAACTAACCATTGGCTCTATATCCTACATCAAGCAGTATAGTACCTGGCATCCTTATCTTCATAAGGGAAACATTCAGAAATGCTGAATCATCTATTTCACAAGGTGGAACTCTGGGATATCTGGCCCCTTGCCCTCATTTTACAAATGGGAAAACCAGCCCCAGTGAGGGAATGTATGTGGGTACGTGTCCTCAGCTGTTAGGGGCCAAACTGGATTTAAATACAGGTCTTTCCCCACCTCCCCTTATTAAGTAGATGGTAAGACAAGGCCATCTGGGATGTCAGCAAGTCCTGGGGTGTTTGCCTGCCTCTACAAGGGTATGCAAAGATTTCCTTTCCAGGACACTTAGGGTTTTCCTCAGTCCTATCCGTACCATCGCCACACTGGTGCAGCCAAGAAAAGACGTTGAGTCCCAACCCCCAGGCGGCCCCAAGGTCATAACCTAACCTGCGTAATTAGAACACCCATTCCAGTGTGAGGGCGGGGGACATTTTAAAGATAAAGGACCTCTTTAAAATAGACTTTTCCCAACATATCTTTTCCAGAACTAAAGTTTTAAGAGCTTACAGTGATGGCAGAGCTGGCTACTTAAGAAAAATTAGACTGTCTCATTTGGTAGGAGAAGATACCCAAGGGGACAGGGCACTGTCATCTTTCAGGGCTCCCCAAAAGAAGCCCCGCGCAGACAGCTAAACATCAGCCTGATTCACGGCAAGCCTGCTTCACTTATTATGGGCAAAGCCAGATATTTTAATTAGAAACACTACATACGCCATTAAATGTGTTGTTCCCCATCTAGTCCCAAGACATTTAGAGTTTGAAGAGATACAAACAATTGAATACATTGCAGATGTACACAGAAACCACCGCCTACCAAGTCACCACCAGCGGGTTCCCTAATTCCAACCTCGGAGAGCCTCCCCATCAAACGTTCTTTGTAAGCAAACTGTTTTCCTCCGTAGTTTGCACAGTTTATGGCAGTTGCCATGATGGAGAAGGAAGGCCGGGGGAGAGCCAGAGAGATGGAAACACACAGTCAATGTCCCTTCATTTATGAGCAGATCGTATAATCTTCGTGACAAATGAAGTCTTAGCGCTGCCTTTCCCGCCCCCCCCGCCCCATGCTAATGTTATTTACTTATTTATTTATTAAGCATGAAAGTCCTCTTTGGGGGCAGGGTTATCCATTCCCAGCTGTGAGCCTAGGTCAGCGGCTCAATGGAGGCTACCACTTGGTTAATTTAAGCAGTCGTTGGTGGTTCAAGTTCAGAAATCTCATCTGACTTTAACTGTCGCTAGCCGTACCACCTTTCTCCCCAGGGGAGCAGCAGCAGCTGGATTTCATTGTCGGGCTGCCAGGCTGTCCCTGCACCTTCCTGGAGGAGCCCGCAGACTGAGGGCCTTCCTTTCCCGATTTTATTCAAGGTGACAGCTCCTCACACGTTGGCGCTCTGACCAACTCAAGTAGCCAGGATATCAGGGGGTGGGAGTGTGGTCCTCCTGCAGAGTCCAAATTTAGATTGACTGAGGTCATCCTCGGGCCTCATGACCCCAGTGCTCTGATGGAACAGGGCTGCCAGGAACTTGGCCATGGTAGCAAGTTTCGTAATGATGTCTGGGGAGAAACAGACATGCAGGAGCAGGCGAAGAAGACCCCAAGTGCTGGGGAGTGATGTCAGCTTTTGTTAGAGCAGCAAACAGTGTTAGAATATCCTTGGCATAATATGGCTCTGGTATCTCTGTCAGCATCTCTGTTTTCTGTCACCACACACAATCCTGGGCCTGTCTCGAGCCCTGACAGTGTCTTTTCAGATCAGGTTATGCCAGCCCGGAGACTGGCTCTGCTCCCCACCACACAGCCCCTTTGTTTGAAGTCGGCCCTCTTGTCATTAATGCACTTGATGTCTATTTAAATCTGAGGGTGAACGTGGTATCTGTTTTCCCGTCAAGAGATCATTGACAATATTAATACCTCATGTCCTTGCCTCATTTTCCAAGCTCTGACACTTTGCCACAGTCTCCTGCATTCATCAAACAGCCCTTTCTCACCAGGGTGTCTATAAACATTCTCACTTTCAGGCCCACAGGAACAGGGCAGGCCTTAAAAAGGACTTTTATCAGTGCCGGCCAGAACAGAAGGGCAGGATTCTGCATGCCTCAGAACACATCCCCTCCCTGCGCATACAGCCCGGGTTCAAGAATATACAGGCTGTTTCTAGAAGGGCTCTTGCTATCCAGGTTGTCTGTAGGCAAGGTCTGCAGTTGAAGTTTGCCATGGAGAGAGCGCAAAGAGAAGAAATTCAATCCCTAATGTTCTGGGGAGTTTCCTGGAGCAAATGCACCCGCTGGTGTTTTGTGTGTGTGTGTGTGTGTGTGTGTGTGTGCACGCGCATGTGTGTGTGAGTATGTGTGTCTGTATCTGCCTTTCGTTCTTTTACTCAAGAGAAAGACTATGTTCTTCATAACATCTGACAGCCCTATTCATTTCTTTTTATAAAAATTCTTGCTGTCCTGGTGCTGTAGAGAGAAAGTAACATCCCATAGCCTCATCCTTCCACATTCTTGAGGATTTCTTGGAATCAGTTATGTTTAAGGAACCCCCTTGTGGATTTTCAAGGACTTCTGAGACACTCCCACCCAGGCCTGTAGGGGGTGCTGTTCAGGGACTGCAGCCTCGAGCCCCGCCCACAGACCTGTCCTGGCTCTGAAGACCATGTTAGCACAATTCCAGGTGCTGTGGAATTCAGCACAGTAAACGGAACAGCTCAGTGTCAACAGCCAAAAGAACAATTTAGGCCCCAAGAAGGGTCTCAGGGAGGTTTCATCCAACTTCAGTGTTTCCAGGCACCAGACCAATACTGGAAAGCAGAACCTGGGGACTAGGGGCCAAGGAGAAAGCATGGCCAAAGGTGAAGAGTGGTCCACAGTGAACTTTCTCAGGGGACCCTGGCAGGAAACAGAGGTGATGACAGCCAGCCCAAGGCCCATTCTGAGGCCATGAAATGATGTCATCCTCTCCCGACTGCAAACTTGCAGAGATTCTGTGACTCCAGCAATTCTCCATGGTGTCCCAAGTCATCCAAACCAAGGAACATCTGCCTTGTCTTTAAAAGTTTCTAAGTCATTTTGAATCCATGTTCTGTAGTGGAGAAATATCTCCTGTACAGTGACCCAAGTATTTACCACGTAGGACTTCTGATGTGAAGAACCTGCATGATTTTCAAGTGCTGATTTATCCCAGAGGAATATTAGATGGTGGTTGTTAGTTTCACACTATCAAAATAATGGGGAAAAAACATGTATATGGGTAACTTTTTATAGACAGATTTGTATTTCATAAATTTATGTGTATGGACACTTTTTTTTTTCTGGTTATACACATTTCAGAGACTCAAGTACTATTAAGTAATAAGACAACTCCATGAAGCTGAGTTTTAAGTTAGTTTTTCTTAAATTAGAAGGAAATAAACTAAAGGTGGCAAAAATAAAATTGTAGTTATAAATATTTTTGTGCAAAAAAACTGATATTTTCTTAATAATCCTGCAAAGCTTTCAAAATAACTATGGCAAGTGATTTCTTATGGGTATTTAGGATAAGTGGTGAGTTACTTGAAAGGTTTGACGTTATTCTAGGGGCATCATTTAAAGTCCTCTTATAATCTCTGTGAATGACAGAAAAGCTGTATATGGAGCCACAAAATTATTTAAAATAAAACTGAAGATGAAAATCAAGTGCATTCCGACCTGAGAGTATAATTCAGGACCCCTGTAAGAAGAAACCATTTGCTGTCAGAGGCACCGTTACTTTCTATGTGGCATTTTGTGAACACCATCCTTCCTTAATCATCCATTATGTACTTGATGTCTGCTGTGATTTGGAAGGTTCTGTCTGGATATTAACAAAATTGATTCATGATAAAGGATTTGAAACTCCACATTCTGGAAGGATTGTTTTATATCTTTTGTTTAGACTGAGCCTGACTTTTAATTCTTAATTTTCCATTTTTAGAAAGTCTACTAAGTGAACTTGGAGAGAGAATGAGGGTTTTGCTTTGTTTTGAGAAGTAGCTGGCCAAACTAGAAAATTCTTTAAAATGTGAAAGGCAAATCATTCAGGAAAAATATTCTTCCTAGGAGCCTGTGCTCTGGTAACATTTTATTTGAATGTCAACTCTAAGGGCAAGAAAGTAGAGTCCTTCTCTTTGGGGGCTTAATCCATTTGCCACCACCCATGGGCTTTGTGATTGTATTTCTGCCATGAGCACCAATGTTTTCTTGCTATAATACTTGTCCCATCAGTAATAATTGTGTTTCTTTTAATTTTCAGGTGTCCTGGGGAAGTGTCGCTATATTTACTACGGGAAAAACTCAGAGGGCAACAGGTTTATCCGTGATGACCAGCTCTGAAAGGCAAGTTCTCTATGCCTTAGCCAGTGACATGAGAGTTAGAAAAAAAAAAAAAAAGCAGAAGCAAAAATAAAGGAAAAGCTAAATGAAAAGACAATGGCCCACATCACTTCTCTGTAGGAAAGCTATGACTTCAGCTGACTTTGCCAGCCCTGTCAGGATCATCCTTCTGCCTTAGACTGAGTGGTCACACAGAGATTGACATGATTGCCCTTAAGCAGGTCTCATCCACTAGGGCGACAGACAGTGGTGGCAAAGCACCAGGGCTGACAGGATGAACACCATGATAGATTGCCTGGCCCCTCCACTGCTCACAGGGGAGCAGAGGTCACACCTGGGGCCTCCCTGAGCATGCTCAGTGGTTGTCGTCAAGTGCGAGAGACTGTCTTTAGCTTGCCTGTTGAGCAGAGATCCTTCTGATACCATTGTGCTGTGGGTTGATTTTTCGTGACACAGTCAGTTTAGAGGAAGCCTTCTTTCTGTTATTTCCCTTAAATCTTAATCTCCTGTATTCTGCATAGTCCCCTCCCACCCCATTCTCATCATCTTTAGCATATTTATCACAGGCAATTCATTTCAGTTAGTTTTTTGGAGAACAGAAGAGGTGAGTTCTTAGCCACGTTGTATTTTTATGATGAGCTTTGTGCTCTTACAATTTGTTGTTTGGAGTAAACTGCTGTCACTAAACCTTGACTTCGAAGGCATGGATTTTACCATGTTTTGTTCATTTCTAAATCCTCTTCTTGCCCTGAATACTAGGCAGTGTCAGGCATCTTTCGCAAAACCAGGTTCTATCCAAGGACTCTTATGTTTTTGTTTTTAACCACATACCCTCCAAGCTACGTCTATGGGCATATATGTGTTTGGAGCTGGCTTACTCCTTTGGCTGCTATATAAAGGTAGTGAGGTGATAAAAGGTAGAGCAATAGGTCAGGAAGTTAAAACGGAAAGTGGAGACTGTACAAAACACTCACTAGACCAAACAGTTTTTAATAAAAGGCACAAACCCTTTGAATTTAGTATATTTCTCAGAATCTCTCAGAAATGAAATCCACAGCTTGTGAGATGGTCTTTGTATACCTTTGTTTATATTCCAGCCCTAATGTTACAAAGAAAATGAACATCATCATGCTGGTTGGATGGCTGTAATTCCATTTAATATACCGGTACACCAGTAGAGGATGTTTGAAAGGCTGTTTGCTCTTGACACAGTAGCATGTATGTTTATTTTTATTTAGATCAAGTGTTCATTGTCCAGGGTCTCCCAGTATTCGGTTAGTTTAAGGACAACAAAATGTAAATGAGAATCGTTCCTAGTTATGGATACCAAAAGACTAGAGAGCTGCTGTGGTAAAAGTCTTTAAGGATTCAGAACCCCTGAGACACGCAAGAAGAGCTCACTTTCTCTGTTTTAGTCCATTTCCGTGGTGTCTGGCCAACTGAGTCAACACAGTCCTTGAATGACTTGCGCTGGGGTTGGCAGGAGTCCCTGTTGTAGATTACACACAACATTCAGTAATCAGTTATTGAGACAAATTTAGATCAAAATCCTTAAGACCATTAATAATTAGAGAATATTGAATGTTTGGCTTTTTCTCTCAAATCCATTAATAACCAGAGTAAAGTATCTTTACTCTTTTTGATCTACAAAACAGCATTGGGATAATGCTTTAAATGAGCTGTATTCAGCCCCACCCTGGTTCTTTGTTTGAAAGCACCAGCACATGTTTTGTCCATGGCATATTACGGGCAGCCGGAGTCCTGTGCAAGGGCAGCTAGACTAGTCCAATGTCACATCCAATCTTGTGGCACATATATCCTTGTCTTTATAAAAGGCTTTAACCCTGCCTCAAACAATAAAAAAGCACTTGTGAACTGACCACAGAATTTTTCCATCTTTATTTTTCTTACTTGTTTACTTTTCTTAATGTCAGAACCATTTGTATCATGCACAGGAATGTCTCCCTCAATGCGAGCTTTGGAGGCAAAAAATATTTTTGGAGTGAGTTATTGACCACATTGTTTCCCTCTCTTTGGGTTGTTTATTTTCTTCCAAAATGGTGTAATAACTTTCATTGAGATTAGCTTTAATTATAATTTACGTAATGTCCTTAAAACGGTATATTCATCTTAATGATAGAATTATAGTGAGTTCTGTTTCTCTTAAAGGGGGATAATGATAATGAATTAGTGTTGGTTTGTTTACAGTTCCACTGTTTGTTAAGGAAGATTTGCTGTGCTTGAGCGAGATTTTGGTCTGAGTTGGCAGAGAGGGGAGCGATGCGGCATGCTTAGCTTAAATCCCTAGGAATTTCCCAAACCTTGTTTTTCAAAGTAGAGAATTAGAAGGTAATAAATTTAGTCCAAGCTCAGACATACTTCATACCCCCTTTCGCCGCTTGGTCTTTCTACTTTTGACCCTGTTCCACTGAGTTTCTTCTTCGGGATTGTGGTGCCGGGCAGCCCTCTGTCCCTCCAGGACGCCCATCTGACTTGAGAGCCCCTGCAGTAAAGGCCATCCTGGAGTCCTCTGTCGCCTCAGCAAAGGCAGGGCGGACTGTCTCTTTCCTAAGTAATGTAATTTTATAGAACAATTTCTTCCTTGGGGAATAATGTTTTTGATTGTGGGGAATCCTATTAAAAGTACAACTATTAGAATCATTTGCTTTTACTTTTACCAGCCTTGCTCATAAACCCTCCATCTGTTTGTTGCTTTAAATAGAGGAACATTATAAGAGATTATCACTCGATCAAGCTGCACGTCTGAATGCTGTGCCTTTTCACATATTCATGTGTACTGAGGAATACAAGAAAGCAAGCTACAGATTCTGGATAAAAGGATTTTCATTTTTTGTTTGTTTTGTTTGTGTGTGTGTATTTTCCAGCAGAGATATATCTTGCGCATTTTCAAGGGAAAATGTCTTTCTTGTAGCTTCTAAGAAGTAACCTGGCTGTCTTTCTTGTCTTTGTTAATATGCAGATCAAAAGCAATCCACAGGGCTCTTTACATCAAAACAATGAGTGTTCGGTAGTTGTTCCTCATAAGGGCAGCCTAAGTCAGATGCGCGTTGCAGTCTAATGCCCAGGGTGGACAACGCAGACTCCCCTGAGACCCCTCCATGCTGTCCGTATGGCACAGCTCATCCAATGTGACAGTCACCATCTGCTTTTCCTAGTTTTCTTTCCAAGATGAAGCCTTTGCTGCAGAAGGCTGTGAGTATGACTTGACTCTGGCCTCTCTGACTTGTCTAGATACCATCCTGTAAACTACCATGATTAAGACCTAGAAAGGGGAAGAAGAACACTGGAGGGTCCCAAGTAACAAGTGAGTTACTTGTTTGTGTGACGGACCATCAGCCTTTGATGAAGCCATGTGTTATTTCTAGAACATCAGCAAATACTTAGAGGATCTGAAGAACATCCAAAGACAGTCACCTCTCTGAAATGATTATCTTGCTACAGATTTACCTGAAAATTTCCAGCAGTGGTAGTTCTCCTTTGGGTAATTATAATCCTGAATGTTAAGTTGCCACTTGGTGAGTGGGGTAGGCAGAGTTATTTGTACATATTAATGTGTTAGCATATGCTGTTTTTCTTCTAGAGTAGCATGGAATGTGGCAGCCTAGGACAAAGGAGTTTTCCTAAGAAAGAAGAGAAAATTCTAAGTTTGGAATATGTCTAGGGATGAGTGGCTAAAGTAAGAATGACGTAAGTGGTAATACATGGAATCATGCCAAAGGAGAGCTTGAAGCAGACCCTGGTGCAGAATTAAAGTGTGAAATCTTAGTGGATAAGGATATAGGGTGCTGAGGGAATAAGGAAAAGAAAAGGAAAAGACAGTTGATGCCAATTAGAAAATTTGCTGATGTTCAGCACTAAAGTGATGTTGAGCAGTTTTTTCTCATCAAAGTGGAATCATCTTTTATCTGAGTCATTTATATATGTTGGATCAGTTCAGTTCAGTTCAGCCACTCAGTCATGTCCGACTCTTTGCGACCCCTTGAACTGCAGCACGCCAGGCTTCCCTGTCCATCACCAACTCCCAGAGTTCACCCAAACTCATGTCTATTCAGTCAGTGATGCCATCCAATCATCTCATCCTGTCACCCCCTTCTCTTCTTGCTCTCAATCTTTCCCAGCATCAGGGTCTTTTCAAATGAGTCAGCTCTTCGCGTGAGGTGGCCAATGTATTGGAGTTTCAGCTTCAACATCAGTCCTTCCAATGAACACCCAGGACTGATCTCCTTTAGGATGGACTGGTTGGATCTCCTTGCAGTCCAAGGGACTCTCAAGAGTCTTCTCCAACACCACAGTTCAAAAGCATCAATTCTTTGGTGCTCAGCTTTCTTTATAGTCCAACTCTTACATCCATACATGACTACTGGAAAAATGTTGGATACTAATCCCTTATTGGTTATATAATTTGTAAGTATATCCTTCCATTCAGTGTATTGTCCTTTCATTCTGTCAATAGTTTCTTCTGCTGTGCAAAAGCTTTTAAGTTTCATTAGGCCCTATTTGTTTATTTTTGCTTTTATTTCCTTCACTTTAGGAGACAGATTCAAAAAAATGTTTCTGTGATTTATGTCAAAGAATGTTCTGCCCAGGTTTTCCTCTGGGAGATTTATAGTATCTGGTCTTAGATTTTGAGTTTGTTTTGTGTATGATATTAAAGATGTTCTAATATAATTCTTTTACATGCAGTTGTCTAGTTTTCCCAGCACTATTTATTGAACAGACTGTCTTTTCTCCATTATGTGTTCTTGCCTCCTTTGTTGTAAATTAGTTGACCATAAATGCATGGGTTTATTTCTGGGCTGTCTATTTTGTTCCATTGATCTGAGTCTGTTTTTATGCCAGTACCATACTATTTTGATTCCTGTAGCCTTGTAGTATACTCTGAAATCAGAGAGCATGATTCCTTCAGCTCCGTTCTTCTTTCTCAAGATTGTTTTGGCTATTTGAGATGTTTTGTGTTTCCATACAAATTTTACAATTGT